ATTTAACTTGCCACCTAACTATTTAACCTAAATATTTAACTTGCTAGCTAAATATTTAAGTTAAATATTTAGGTAGCTAGCTAAATATTTAAGTTAAATATTTAGGTAGCTAGCTAAATATTTAAGTTAAATATTTAGGTGGCTAGGTAAATATTTAAGTTACTAGCTAAATATTTAAGTTAAATATTTAGGTAGCTAGCTAAATATTTAAGTTAAATATTTAGGTAGCTAGCTAAATATTTAAGTTGCAACCTAAGTATTTAGGTAGCTGGGTGATTAATTGTCTCAAAAATTATTGCGATAGGCGATAATATTGTCTGGTGACCATTTTAAATCCAATATAATGATAAAAGCGTAATAATGTAAGTACTGTACATCCTCTCAAAGGTCAATAAACTTTAATTTTTAAAGAATGTTTAACAAAGTGGACTCTCAGTCTCTAACATAAATGCACCTGAATAAAAAAACAAAGAACAACAAAATGTAAATTAAACACCACACATAACTAAGACAGTAAATAAACAATATTAAAGAGCAGCATGTCTTTAGAGATGAAGCAAACTACACAGCCTGGTGAGGACCCACTGTTTCTTATGGGGACATAAGCCCAGTTCACATCCCATGTAAAGTGTAGRYWWGVYTTAGGGTCAAATGGTAATAGAAAATACTGGTAAATGAATGAAAGTCAATGCAAAGTCCCCATGAGGATAGAAGAACAAACGTGTGTGAGGAGGGGACAGTCAGAGCGCTGCGGGGAGGAAATCAGTTCAAAGTTTTCCTCATGAGTTGTTGGGACAGCTACAGGTTTTTTTGGGGTGTTTAGTTAAAACACAGATGGTGTGTTTAAGTTTCCTGTTATTTTTGGGAGCTACAGGTAAAATCTTGACAGATTTGTCGCGGGTCTGTCTGCCTCGTTCATGCCGTATGGACTGTCCATAAATTACACCGATTTCCCCCCTTTCTGCAGACGGATGTAGCAATAAACCTCCCTTTTTTTTACTCAGGCTTCAAATTTATTGTACATGTCAGAACCTTTAGGATGTGAATAAATATCAAATAAATACAAATAAATATCCAGCTCAATCGAATTTTTAAGGATCAAGTTGCACGTAAACGTCTGAAGGGGTTGACGTGTGTACTTTATTTGTTTTTACTGGTTAGCTTGTTAAATACAGCTAGCTCTGCTACTTCCACTAACTACAGTGGTTTGCAAAAGTATTCATACCCCTTGAACTTTTCCATATTTTGTCACATTACAACCACAAACATAAATATATTTCACTGGA